CTTGTATCTGCTGACCCTACCACAAGTAAATACTTCCATAGGCATAGCTCCATCAGTTACAGAGCACAGCGACTCCAGCTACCACACAAAGCCCTTCCACAGTTACACAAACACCACTGTAAAGCACCGAGCACAATGGCTTGATTTTACCAGCTTATTTGCTATACTGATACCCTATCATGTTGCCATAGCGTATGTACTGAACTGTACATATATGAGACCCTGCAGGACACACAAAGGTCTTGGGATATAAGAGAATGATGTGTTGCTATAAGGCAGTAGGGTATGGCACGGAATGGACCGGGAGACCTAATAAACCTTTTTGTTAGCACCGTTTAATTTTCTAAGATGCGTGCTCCCAGAAAACACCATTTCATTAACATCAGTGCACCAAACCATCATTCTCAGCCCCTTTTGGCTGAGAACCAAAATGTCAGTATATCAAATCCAACAGGTACTACAGGACAGGCATCAGCAAATGCTGTCGCTGGCTGCAGAAGTTATCAGTATGAATTCTGCTTTCACATTTATAGCAAGCTTCCCAGCCTGACTTTTGAAACTTCCCATTGCTAGTGAGTTAAGCTGTGATGAAACAGCAAAGCTTTTTAAAGAATCCAGCAAAAACTAACTTTTACAGCTCATGGTCCACACTCAACAGATTCCTTGAGATTCTCCTTGGTAAAACCAAACACAATGTTCTCACAGCAAGTATGCCAGGAAACACATGGCACAGCAACATAGCGGGAGGGAGGAAGGCGGAACGGGAGACATTTTCTGAGCATTGAGTATCACGATACCACATTAAAATCAACAGTTTCTATCAAGTGTATTTTCCATTTTGTGTAGACATATGCTGTTAGCTACTTCAGACATGAAGACACAGTTTCAATTTCTGCAGCATTTTTGTGCCTAAGTATCCACAGAGATCAAGAAATGGTTGCCAGAAAGATTTCCATCAAATCTGCAGAACAGATGTACCAGGCACCAAGCAAGAAGACCAGTAACAACCTTTGGATGTTGACAAAGGCAATGTAGGCACCAGATAATCACTCCTTTTTACATGGGAGCAGCAATCGCATCCAAAACACAGCTGTGAGCAGCCGTTTGAGATGGATGGACAAAGAGCTCCACGGATGCTGGGAAACAGCACAGCCAGCAGGATGCAACCTGAATCTGTTGGCTTCAGAGCTAAGCTCTAGCACTTGGTTTTTCTCTCCCCTTCCCTAACAGAAAGATAACGTTTTCTCCATTCACAGGAGCTCCGAGAGATGTAAATCGACTGATGCTAGTCCCTGGATTGAAGCCACACATTTCATTTTAACCACACTCCAGATCAGCTCTTTTCTTGTACTAAGAACATTCTTGATGCCAGAAAAGACTAGCCTACAGGAGCAGCCGATAACGTGGCTGCTGCAATGACTATGGCTGGATGTAAACCAGACAGTAAACAGTGCTATTCCTAAGCACCAGAATTAATCCAGAATATTCCACGGTGAGAAGAGATGTTGAGACTGACACAAACTGAGCAAAGGCTGAGCAGAACTGCTACTTACTCTGAGCCCCAAAGCTTCAGAGCCCTCAAACAGCAAAGAAGCAGTGGTTACAACAGGGACATATCTCACCCCCTAAGCTGTAACTTCTAGGATAAAGCTGACCATGACAACTTTTTGCTCCAGTAAAATAAGACACAAAACAAAATTACAGTTTCAATACAATTTATACTCCTGCTATCATAGTAATAAGGTATCAATTAGCATACTAATCTTAGCTATCTGTGAATTTTCCCTTTAGTCACACTCTGATAACTGGAGTTTGAAAGAATAAATATAAAAACAGACACTAAAAAGACTAGCTTCAGTTTGCAATAAAAAAATCACACTAAAAGCATATGCAGCTGAAGCATGGCTATTAAATGAGCAACTTTTATCTGCAATGGTCACCAAAGAGATGCAGAGAGACAGCATAATATCTGTAAACCGTTGCAGAATAGCTGTCAAGTCAACAGGATGCACCTGTACTGGAAACAATGGATTCTCACCCAAAAGTTTTTGGTGGCTTCTATACAAGGGATGAGGTCTGTGAGACAGGCACCTCTAAGAACTAAACAAATCCTCTGTCTCTGGGTAAGGAGCAGTACAGACACGTAACTCACCATATGAAACTTAGTCCTTTCCAAAGTGCTTGTCCATTTTCAAAGATCAAGGTTTGAGAGAGACTTCTCACGCACATGCATCCACAAACAGGTTAAAAAAGTAGGACAGCATATGAATATAAACCAAGAGCAAAATCCAGCAAGGTTCTGGCAGCTCCTCTACATGAAAAAAAACCCTGTCTTTAACTTTATTTTATGGAGGGATGTCTAGAGAAGCAACAGGGTAGAAAGCGAGACTATTCCTTTCAATGATATCTAAGGTCCAAGTGCTTGAATTTACATAGCTCCACATCAGAAACAACACTAAACTCCTCCAAATAAGGAAAAAAACCCCAACAAACAAAAAAAGGAGGTGACCAAACCTTTAAAACCAGAAAGTGTAAAGGTCTACAATGATGAATCTAAGCAGATCTTCCACTTTTCTGCAGCCAAAGAAATTGAAATATATTCTGAAAACTCAAGATTAAATGTTTTTTTCCATAGCACTGAAAACACCCAAAGCCCTAGAAAACCTCCTCCCATTCAATTCCTCCTGCCAAAGTCTTTTCTATACACTGAAATAAAGAGGAAGTCCCAGATAAAATGTAGACAGGGTAAATTGAAGGTATGTCTGCAGATAAGCATAGATGTCCTTTGCCACAGACGATTCTACATTGTTACTGAAATGGCAATAGAACAACCGATCACAGTACAGAGATTAATCGACACCCTCAGAGCATGCCTCCTCCACTCCCCACAACTTAGTGACAAAGACCTCAGAACTGTTCCTCAAGCATAAGCACAATTACTGAGATTTTGGCTCCAAACCAGACAGAGCAGGTTACCATGCCCTAATGATCCTTTCATTCCTCAAGTATCAAAGCTGCAGATGAATATACTTTCACCCAAGAAAAAGGCAGGTGGGGAAGGACTATCACAAACAGCAAATGCAAGTCTGCAAATACTGTTACTTTGCAGCTTTATCTTTTGGGGATGGGGGGAACCACCTCTCAGTCAACCAACCTGTTTCTTTTCCAACAATCTCGTATCATTTGAATCTAATGCTTTCAGATTTGTTACATTTAAAATGAGAAACTACCCAAACTTCCTGCAGCAGCTAGAGCACCAACCCAAGAGCATGCTGTGGGAGTAGGGAATAGCTGGCACCCAACAACACAGAGTGGAGTGGGGGAATCTAGTTTCCCGATGGGAAGTAAACCAGCATATCTGGTCCCACTGGAAGCCTAAAGTAGACATGCATGCTCTTTGCTGACCCAGTCGCATTCCCCGCGAGTCCAGTGAGAGGACCTCAGCATCTGAATGGCAGCATTTAAAAACTACTCCCACCGCACAATTTTTTTGCCAACTCCACACAATACACAACTGCCATTTCGAGAAGCAGGAGAGCCTAAACCCTCAGCAGTGTGCCCAGCTCAAACTGGAGCGCAGGGGTATTTCCACGAAGTTACTACAGCAAGCATCAAAAAGCTCCAGAATAATCACCAACCATGGACACTTTTCTACTTGGGTAGAAATCTTCCAGTGCTTTTCCATGTCTGAACATACACACCATTGCCTGTATATTTACAGACCATTTCATAGTTTGGCACAAGAAGTCTGTACAGAGCTGACCCTAGTACCAAGGAGGAAGAGTAGCCCAGCTTCCAGCCACTGAATATAACTTGCAGTTGTTAAATTTGTATTTACTCAAACTTACTAACTCCAATCTTCAGCATATCCACCTCACACAAAAATATGGGTCCTTCATTTCATGTTAACATAATTCATCTTTTCTTTTCTTTCTTGTTTTTGTTTTTTTGTTTTGTTTTGTTTTTTTAAAACCAATCAGGACATGAAGCAATTAGTCACAGATGGCATTTTGTTTTTAACTTCTGTTTACCAAAGAGAAGTATCATGCAGAACATGCAATATGCAGTAACATTCATAAGTACATCTTCAGTCACAATGAATGTGGAGAATTTAACACACACTTTCACAACCAGCAAGTTTACTATACTAAAATACATTGCTTTCAAAAATCCATACAGTCTTCATATGCATTTTCCTTTTCCAAAAGTAATCCTCCTCCTGGGATTCCATCCTTCCCAGCAGTAACAAAAACATCAACAGTACCACATTTGTGAGCAAGCTAGAAAAAAATATAAAAATTCACGCATGAATGAGGCTTGATGAACAAGGATTTCACTTCCAAGTTACTGGTTCACTTGAAGTAGTCTCTGTGTGTTGACATATACACACACACAGTTTTTACAAACTTTAGTACCCCTCTCTCTCTTAAACTGCCAAGAGTGTGTTACTGCTGTGAGCAGATTGAGTGTCCGCCTTCTAACAATCAAAGGT